AATGTGGCAATGCCTCATTGCACTACACTACAAGCATGACTTTAAAACAAAGCAAGTCTTAGTCAATTTGTTTGATTGTGACGTGACTCTTCATTTAAAGGGAAAAATTGGCTGGAAGGAATTCGTGGTGTGGTCACTCCGCAAACCGAAGGATAAAAGGGGCGTAAGTTGCTGTATTGTGGGAAAGAGGTCATCGGTTAACAGTCCTGTGGCCCCGATGAAGCTGTAATAAGCCAAAATCTGTGCTGTGACAAACAACATCAGAGAAGAAATCCATACTTCACGAAATAGAGCAAAATTTCCTAAACGGACAGAAAAGGTCACAGGATGCGATCCCGATCGCCGTTTTAAACAATTAATTTTCCGACCTGAATGAGACATCCCATGATTTGAGGTTGTTAGACCTTCTTTTTGCAACTTGGTCATATTGGTAGGAAGACTTAGAGGAGCACACCTAGTCCGGAGCCCATTCTATGCATGATCATTTCCAGAGTAAGACTGTGGACATGGTACATTCCCAGACGATTCGCCGGCATCGTCAGTGAGCATTGTCACTCTTAGCACTACACTAGAACTCGTCAAAGAGACAAGTAAAGCCAATCTTTTAAGCAATTATCTGCGAGACATTCGTGGTTTCTCTAATCCAATCCTGGGCTAATCACCAATCTTATATCCTCGTATCACCCATTCACTATCACAATTTTGTACTTGCTTATGCTGGGATAATACTCAATTTCCGGTCCCATCACAATTATAGACTAAAGATAGGAATAATGGGGAGCATGATCATCCGAAGACTACGCCTAACGGATCTAGAATTATGGGATGAGGAGCTGGACAAATTGACTAGGATATTGCTCGGAAGTGATAGAAAGAAAACATACGGGCCGTGAAAAGCCAATGGCAAAACGGTGACTATGAAAGAACAGTAAGGACGATAAAGGATTCACAAAAGTGGATATGCCTAACTTACTGCGAACTAACTCAAAAACCACGACCAATATTGAGTAAATGGAATATTCAGTTGGTCATAAAACGGAAATCAACACCTTTCACAAGTCTACCGACGCAATATGAAAAGGTAAATAAATTGGATTCTTCAGGAGTTTACTGTATATCATGCCGCGCATGCGAACAGAAATATATTGGCGAAACAAGGAGAAAAATTAGCACACAAATCAAGGAACATCAGAGGCTCTGCAGGAAAATAGATACCAAAATATCAGGACTAGCTGAACACATCGCACAGACTGGACACGAGATCAATTGAAAGGCAACAAAAAGGAGAGCTCCATACGGTGACAACACAAGGAAGCGGAAGATTAGGGAGGCCATTGACATCCTTGGGGAAAAAATCTAATGAACAGGAGATTGGAGGAAGGTAGAGTTAGCGATAACTTTGCCTACTGCCTATGCAAACTCGAAGAAAACAAAAATAGAGCAAGATCAGTAAAAAGGAGACGCCTGGATCAAGGATCTACCGCTAACCGGAAGAAAAGCCATCGTGATGAAGAAAGTGGCGGGCAGGCGTTTTCGGCAATAATAGAAGACGTCTTCAGTGAGTTATGTTCGTTTCGAATAAACCAGTCAAACTTTGGGGGCCTGGCAGTCAGGGAGCTGGGCATACGGATAAGCAAACCGTCACGGAAATTTGGCGTTATGGCCCAAATGTACCAGAGATCCACTTGAGATGCTGCATGCGACCAGAGATAGGCGTCCACAGTTTGATCAGATAACATGGGTTTAATCAAGGAGAGTACGAGTGAAGGGAAGGTTTGATATCTGCAAGCATGGCAATCAGAGCTTAGGCGCTCTGATCAGTGAAGCGGTAGTGTACGTATTTTTAGGGCCTTGAGAAATAGCACCTGGGGTAAAATGCACACTGGGACTGGAACCGAGTGAAATCGGTCAATAAGAAAGATAAGGAACGGATCTACGAGGCAACGAGGGGATCCGGATTGGAGGCCCGAGTCGGATCGGCCGATCGAAATGAGGGGTCGGGGTGAATAGTAAGTGTGATGAGACCATACTAGATTTGCCACAAAAGAGCACACATTTTGACGAGTGGAATGTAAACAAATTAGAAGTTGTGATAGGGCGGCAGTAGGATAAGAGTATATAGATAGGCCAGGACAGAAAGACTAGTGATAGTGTAACTGTTTTGGGCAGAACGTTTGTCGAGGGATTGACTTCACTTGTCTCTTTTACGAGTTCGTAGCTTGGTGCGGAGAATAGCAAAACTCACTGATGATGCCGATTATGATGTCGGCGGAACGTTTGAGAATATACCAAGTCTACTGTCTGATGCTGGGAATCATGACAACTAATATGGCAGACGACTTCGGACTAGGCGCGTTCTACTAAGTCCCCCTGACAACAATACCAAGTTTCGACAACAAAGTCAGCCCACTTCTATAAATCGAAAGAAGACTGCGACCATACCAGAGGCCATAACATCTTGGTCTTCATATCGTCAATGTAGATTAAGGTTGATGTAGCCAGCCAAATCATAGGATGTCTCATTCAGGTCGCGAAGTTAGTTGTATAAAAAGAGACGGTCAGCCGGTCAACTTTTCTTTCTGTTTATTAAATTTTTGCTGGATTTCATGAAGCATGGATTCCTACTCTGATGATGTCTGTCACAGTACAGACGAAAACTTACCACAGATTTATCTGGGTCACAAGACGGTGAGCTAAGTACTTCTATGCACAATATAACAACCCACGCGACAATCCTCCCTCGATTTTCGGAGAGACCACATCATTAATTTCTTCCAACCAACGTTTCCGTCGAAATGGAAAGTCATTTCACAACATATCACTAAATAATTCCTCTGCATGACAGCCTTGGAAATTTTTTCGAAATTACAACAAGCATGGGATATTTTGAATTAAATTATAAAGGAATTTGATTATAATTATGAGATTGAGACTGACAAAAATAATCATTATAACTTTTATTTTTTACCAATATTTAATGTTTAAAATTTTAGTTAAAAAGAGAAGACTAGAACGACACTCACTATTTACAATAAGATATAGCTATCGCATTCGATTAAAAAATTATAGGCTTACAGATCCAAAGTGACAGGCTATATGAAGGGGTGTATATCCTGCTTTGGTTTTAGGATCAACCTCAGCTCCATGCTTAAAAAGGCACGTAGCAACCTCCACAGTATCCTCCTGAGCAGATAAATGCATAGGTGTGATATACTTCTAAAATAAAAAACGAAACTTAGAGGAGCCAAATTAAGCCATTATAATCAGTAGAAACATCATAATGCAGTTTCAAAAATAAATTTAAACATTTTATATGGAATTTAAATTGAATACTTTTTTACCATTGATAAACAATTCGTTTTGAAATTATAAAATGACAAATAATATAAAAAATCTAATGAAATTTCCTTAAGATATTGCTAGTTTCCAACTAGTAGTATAAGAAAATCCAGTCGTTTTAGGGCAAATAGGATGACTATTTAAGGATAGCATGACTTTAAATGAGGTTGCCTGTTAAGAAAAAGATAAAATAAAGAAATACTTAAAGGTGAGTTGATCTTGTCGCAACTTGGTCTTGTTGTCAGGGCGACTTAGTAGAACACACCTTAGTTGGAAGTCATCTGCCATAGTAGTTGTCATGATTCCCAGCATCAGACAGCATTTGATACATTCTCAAACGTTTCGCCGGCATCGTATGCGGCATCATCAGTGAGTTTTGCCATTCTCCGCAGCAAGCTATTCACTGATGATGCCGATTACGATGCTGGCAAAACGTTTGAGAATGTACCAAGTCCACTGTCTGATGTTAGGACTCATGGCAGACGACTTTGGAAAGGGGGCCTTCTACTAAGTCGCCCTGACAACAAGACCAAGTTGCGACAACAAGGTCAACCTACTTCTATAAATCAAATGGAGATTGCGACCATACCAGAGGCCACAACCTATTGAGCTTCATTTCTTCAAATAAATACTTAAATAGTTGTGGTAATAATAAGGGCGATAATTTCACGTATCAAGCAGAAGCCAAAAAAGATAGAGAAAACCGTTTGCAACATACGGTCTATACTTGTGTAAAAGACGATGTGGATTTATGATAACATTGATAAAGAGTATATGTAAAATCAATTTAGTAGTCATCAATAAGGAAATTTGGGCTAGAAACAGGCCTCACAGTACGCATTAAAGAGAACTGTTAAAACGGCTGATCTTGACGGTACTATAAAATTATTGGACATCGAGCGCAAATACCTTTTAAATTAATGAAAGGGAAAATAAAGAAAAGTAACATGCATCAGTTGGATGACCCATTTGTCGTTCAAGCCTTTGGGAGCTTTATATCTAAGCACGAAGTTTTAAAAATAAAAATAGACTTAAAGGGAACTCAATTTAAAGAAGAGCTAAATGACGCCAGCATAAAGAAGAAAATTTAGGCCTGTCTGTAACTGCCTGAATAAATATGTTAAAAGTACTAAATAAAAATTGAAGGAAGCTCAGACCTTAGATTTTTCGTTTACATTTGCACCTGCCGAAATAAGCATATTAGCTATATCCTTAGTTGCGTGTTGAGCAGCAAGATGTAAAGGTGTAAAAAGATTCTTCGAAAAAGAGTTTGGATCACTGAGTAAAGGCTTTCCATCGCCCAAAATAAGACGAGTTACTTCTTGATGGCGGCGCTTCACAGCGATATGCAAAGGAGAAAATCCATTGCTAGCACGTATCTGTAGAGAAGCCTTGAAAAAAAATCGAATAACGTCAGGAACAAAGAAGTTATAGAAAGTAAACAGAAAACAAAATAACAAACAAAAGTGACGGTGGAAAGACAAAAATTATATCCTTTTATATAGTTGTGATCTGCATACTTAGTTTAAATTGGTCTAAACTCGTTTTCGCAGCCTGATCGTATTTCCAGGTAGGCCAACGTGAAAGCACATTATGCGGAGTCCTCTGTCATTGTATCCATGATAATTTCCAGCATCGGACCGGGGACTTGGTACATTCCCAAACATTTGGCCGGTATTGCCAGTGAGCCTTATCAGTCCAAGAAACAAACTACAATTAGATCGTATAATTGAAGACCAAGATGGTGTACCGTTCTGTTTGGTCGTAGTCTCCTTTAGCTTAATAGTGTTGGTTCGACCTTGTCTTGGCAACATGGTCGGAGTGTCAGAGATACCTTGTGGAACGTACCTAGTCCTGTGTACTCTGCAATAGTATTCGTGGATCATTGGCTGGGTACATTCCCACACGCTTCGCCGGCGTCGTCAGTAAGAGGCGCCATCGTAAACACAGAATTACAACCCATCGTTACCCACTTGTCAATTGGCCGCTGCCAAACATCTAAGTC